ATTCCTTTAAAAAAAATATTTAAAATTCCGCGATTATTTATTTATAAAAGTTCCGAAAAAAATCTACTATTATTGTTTTGTGAGTTCTTTGAAATAAAAATCCACTATAACAAGTCATTGTTTCCTCAGAAAAATAAAATAAAATAAAAAATCTAAAAATATCCATGATTATTATCCTCTTGAAAAATTCAAAAAAATCTTTAAAATCCACAATTCATGGTCATTGAGTCCTTTAGAATTTTTTTTTCAAAATTTAATACTTTTGTGGTCCTTGGATCCTGTAATTATTGGTCATTGGGTCCTATATGTACTTGTAATAATTAACGATTGTTGGTCATTGGGCACTTGTAAAAACGTAATATTAGTTTTCATCGGGAATTAAAAAAAAAAAAAAAAACTCATTGTTAGTGGTCTTTGGATCCTTTAAACAAATATATTTAAAAGGTTCATGCTTATTGTTCTTTGGGTCCTTGACCAACTCCTTTAAAAAACATGTTAATGGGTTATTAGATCCTTTCAACTTTTTTTAAAGTAAGATTATGGGTTGCTAAAATTTATTATTTTAAATCAATCTTAATTAATTAACGAGCCATTGGAAAAGAACCCATGTATATTTGCCAAACGGGCCAAAAAAATCCAATTTGCTTCTTGAAAAAAAAAATATATTGAACATTATGAATGAATTATTGGTCATTCGATATTTTCAAAAAGTCCACTGTTATTGGCCAATTTGTTCTTCAAAATATTGATTGGTATGTTCACATTTCCGCCATCGATGACGTCATTTACACCTGAGACTGCAACGCATCTGCAATAAAAAAAAAACAACTTCAAAATATTATGACTGCAGTGTGAAGGTGAGTTAGTGGGAGAGAATATTCACCTGCAAGATGAGAACTAAAAGAATGAATTAACACCTTTCAAACTACGTTCGAAAATCTATAAATTCCCAATAACGGCAATGGAAAACCATATTCATTAAAGTTTTTTATACAAAATTATAACAACAACGGTAGTTTCAGTTAATTATTTGTGAATCTGTGAAATGGAAAATATTTTTAAAAAATACATGTAAGATTTGATCAATTTTTATTTCTAAGACAAAAAGTGTTTTGAAATATTATTGAGAACCGTATTTAAGAAACCAAAAAAAAAAAAACATTCTTGGGATTATATTGAGATTTTGAGTTTAAATAATAATATTATAAATCGTGAATTTTTAAAATTATTTTTTCAAGAACTATCTGACCAAAAATCGTGTGCGTTTATTCTTTTTTTCAATATTTTTCAATGACCAATAGGGAAATAATTGTGGATTAAAAAGTTAAAACCAATAGACTTTTAATGGTGGATTCTTCATATTTTTCACTGGTCAATAAAGAAATAATCGAGGATTTTTTTAAATAATTTTTTCAAGGAACTGTTGAACAATCGTCGTAAATATTATTTAATTTTTTTTTTTTCAATTTTCGTGATTTTTTAAGAAAAATTTTCAAGGACCACGACTTAAATAAATGTAGATTTTCAAAATTATTATTCCAAGGACCAATAGACAAATAATGGTAGATTTTTAAGGATAACTTTTCCAGACAATAGACAAAATAAACGTTAATTTTTTAAAAAAAATATATTGTTTTTCAAGGACCAAATGACCGTTAATATTGGATTGCCAAAGAATATTTTTTCAAGGACCAGAACTGGCGAATAATATTGGATTTATTAAGGAATGTTTTATCAATGATCCAATGACCAATTATCATGGATTTTTTAGGAATATTTGTTCAAAAACCCGTTCACATATATAAGCGGATTTTTTTTTAAATAATTTTCAAGGATTTTCGTGTAATTTTAAGAAAGCTGTAAACTTAAAATTTTGCGCTAATGTTAGTCTTGGGGCGAAGGTGTGTGATACGGCTGCGTTATTGGAAAATCCTAGTAAAAGGGTACGAAAAATATTCCAATGTCCCTATTGGTGGTAGGTTTGTGAGAATAAGGTGGTTCTTAGAATGTGTACCCCAAGTGCACGAAAAGTACTAAATATACTATATTTGGTACAATTTGTTATTGGGTGAATAGATCGTGCTTTGAAATTTGGTGTTAGGGTCGCTGTTCATGTCTATGAACAGGACATATAGAGGCGATTTCGGAAATGTGTACCGTAATCGCACGAAAAGTACGATATTTGTTGTTGGGTAAAAGCATAGGTCTGGGATCCTTAGATTTTATGTTGAGCTCCCTGTTGATATCTGGAATTGAGAAATGGAGGTGGTTTTGGAAATGTGTAATAAAATTGAGAATCAAGGTTGGAAGTAAGTTCGATATATGAAGGTATTTTTGGAAATGTGTACTAAAAGCGCATCAATAGTACTATATTTGGTACAATTTTGCATTGGGTGAACAGATCGTGCTTGAAATAAGAAATTTGGTATTCGTGTCGCTGTTCATGTGTAGGTCCAGGTCATATGGAGGTGGTTTCGGAAATGTGTTTCGTAAATGTACGAAAAGTACGAAATGGTACTAAATTTGCTATTGGGTGAAGGAATAGAGATAATATTCTGAAATTTGATATTTAGATAACTGTTGGTATTTGGAAATGGGATATGGAGGTGATTTTGGAAATGTGTTCTATAATTATGGAAAAGTACTAAATGGTCCAAAAATGTGTATTGGGTGAAGGGATTAGGCTGGAATCCTCAAATTTGACATTGAAGTCTCTGTTGGTATCTGGAATTGAGATTTGGAGGTGATTTTGGGAATGTGTTCTATAATTGTACGAAAAGTACTAAATAGTACTAAATTTGGTATTGGGGGGGGATTGATTGGGCTGGAATCCTCAAATTGGATATCTGGAATTAAGATATTAAAATGTGTACTAATATTGTACGAAATGTACTACAAAATTTGGTATTGGGTGAAGGAAAAGTATTAAATCCTGTAATTTTATATAGATGTCACTGTTGGTGTCTGTGGTTAAAAAATGGAGGTTGTTTTGGAAAAAATAGCACGAAAAGTACTAAATAGTACAATATTTGGTATTGGGTGGAGGGATAGAGGTAAAGTTATGAAATTTGATACTTAGACTACTGATGGTATATATGCGTGAGTTTTGGCCGCGGATGAAAAATGCGTCCTATATTTGTACGAAAAGTTCTTAATGGTACTAAATACGGTATTGATCGAAGGAATTCGGCTGGAATCCTGAAATTGGATATTAAGGTCTCTGTTGGTATCTGCAATTGTGATATGGATGTGGTTTTGCAAATACGTACTATAATTGTTCGAAAAGCTCTAAATTATACTAATTTTGAATTGCTGTTGGTCTCCAGGATGGAGAGATGTAGATTGTTTTGGATATGCGTACTAAATGTTACCAAAGCTGGTTTTGGTTGAAGTGATGGAGCTGAAATTCTGAAATTGTTTATTTAGGGCACTGTCACTGACGTTGAAACAGTTTTTACAAAAATTTGGATGTTTTATAGGGCCAATGGGAAATTTTCTTGATTTTTTTAGAATATTTTTTTTTTTTAAGGAAAATAAAAATATAATTTAAGATTTTTTACAAATATTTTTTTAAGAGCGAATAGACGAAGGATCTCGATTCCTGAAAAACATTCAATTTAATGAGAAATAATCGTGGAATTTTTAAAATATTTAATTATATTTGATCGTGAATTTTTTAAGCTGTGGTTTTTAATATTTTAAATTGGATGTTTTAAAAATATTTAATCCTAAATTTTTTTAATATTTAATCGTAGATCGCGAATTTTTCATAAAGTGTTTAATTAAAGAACTTTGAATACCCTCCACCATTTGGAAAGAATTTGTCAATTTTCAAAAAAAAAAAAAAAATAAATAAATAAATAAAATCCATTGAACATTCTATTAAAATTTTAAAAATACCGAATGTAGCCGTTATATTAGAGTCTATACAACGACGTGGACCTGTAAACTTGAAAAAAAATGAAGTGAATAACGTACCTAAAGTCATCAAAATACCGAATATCGGGAGGTACCGTTATATTGGGGCTATACGAAGACGTGAACCTGCACAGACAATTTTTTGTCATAGGCTCCATTACGAACTTCAAATACTAAATTTGAAACAATTCTGGTGAAAAATGTCCATAAAATCATTAAAATTCCAAATATAGGGAGCTACCATTATATGGGGGCTATACCAAAACTTGGACCTACATGGCCCATTTTCAATACCAAAAGTCCTGGAGACACAATATACATTTGAGCAAAATTTTATCAATCTACTTCTTTTCGTTCGGAGGCTAGAGTGATTTCCACTGACAGACAGACGGACGGACATCGCTAAATCGACATAGAATTTTATGCTGATCAAGAATATATATACTATGTGGGGTCTAAAATGTATATTTTGAGGTGTTACAAACGGAACGACAAACATAATATATCCTCCATACTATCGTGGAGGGTTTAAAAATAGTGGACTTTATTTAAATAAAAAGAGATGCTTTTTACGAATATTTTTCGAAGCAACATTCGTGTCAATTTTTCCAACAGGGCAGTAATAAAATCTATAGTTCTGCTTTTGGAAGCAAACAAACAGCGAGTGATCATTGGTTGGCCGTTTAGGGAAAGAAACTTTCTTTCAATTCCATTGAGAACATTTCGCTCTTTCTCTCTCTCACTATTATCATTTCCAATGCTCTTTCACTTTACAACTAAGAGAAGCTGATGCCAAATCAAGAGTCATACAAACTAACGTCCATTACAATCAATTGAGATTGTTTAGAATGAAACCGTATGTGTGTGTGCGTGTGCGAGTGTTTGCGTAACTGCAATTCTTGCCGAGTCTTCTTCCCCATAGTAGTTGTTGTGCAAAATCATCCTCAACTAACAACAACGAACGCCAAACAACAGCTGAGCAGAACCGATTAGAATACCCGTAGCCGGACAGACAACCAGACAGACAGCAACGCCAGCCGCATTACAATTCAAACAGAATTCTCGTTATAAAATCTGTTCGAAAAATCACTTCCAGCTCAGTTGAGTTCCAGTATCGTTTGAGCGAATAACGAATAGAAAATATTCAAAATTGTTAAAAATTTTGAATAGAAAAAGTAAAGCGCGCAAAGAAAAACCCCTGAAAAACAAATTAAATTTACAACGAAACCTAAACATTCCGTAGTGTTTTTTTTTAAGTTCAATAAAATTTTCAACAACTAGTGAAAGTAAATATTGTGTTTTTTTTTAAGTTTTAAAACATACAAAAAATATTAAATTACAAATTATAAAATCAAAAACTGGAAAAAAATATGGAACCACTTGTAAAAATTGTATAAAGTTTTTGAAGAAAAAGATCGAGTGTTAAAATAAAAAAAAATAATTCCAAAGGGTTTGAAGGATCAACATAAATCTAATTTTACAGTGATAAAGACAGGACAGGACTCTAAGCCTGGAAACCTTTAATTTTGGGTTCCCTTTCTATTGTTGTTTTTTTTAATCTTTTCTTCACTGAATTTATAGAGGATTCATACTGGTCCAGAGTCAAAATATGTGAAAACTTCGGGCATTATTTTTTTCAATAATAGATTAGATGAGAAAATGGGAAAATTTTGAACTTCCATCAGAAAGTGATTATAAAGGTCCATTTTTTGATAAGATGAGCCTCGATAATGGAAAAGGAACCTTTTGCCAACTCCCTAGAACAGGCAAACATTTGAAAAGGGAGCAGGGACTATCTGTTCTTTATTTAAAGGTTGAAAAATCATAGGCTCATTTCTTAAAAAATTCAGAATCTCCTGAAACTCGTATAATGCGGACGAGGTCTCCGATTGGATCCAAATGTTGATCTTTTGACATAAAATCGTGAATTTTTTTCAACAATTTTTTTCCTTCAAAAGGACCCCCTGCCATGTATGGGGGATTTTTTTAATTAAAAATTCCAATGACGAAAAATAATTTGACATGAAATAGTGGATTTTTCAAGGACATATCGATTCAGCCTTTTTGACTTTTTTTAATTTTAGATTTTTCTTCATTGATTTTCTCAAGGATCCTCGACCAAATCGTCAATTGTTTAAGACTCGTTTTTCAAGGATCCCTTTGACCAAAAATCGTCAATTTTTTTTTAATAAACTCTTGCCAGAAGGTCCTTCAAAAGAACCTCCTGCCATATATCGGGGATTTTTTTAAATAAAAAATTCCAATGACGACCAGACCAAAACCGCCAATGAAAAAATAATTTGACATGAAATCGTGGATCTTTCAAGGACATATCGATTCAGTCTTTTTGGACTTTTTTAATTTTAGATTTTTGATCATTGATTTTGTCAAGGACCCTCGACCAAATCGTCAATTGTTTAAGACACTTTTTCACGGATTGCTTTTGACCAAAAATCGTCAATTTTTCTAATAAACTCCTGCAGAAATCATAGATTTTTAAGAAGATTTTTAGATTTTAAGAAAAGGACCTCCTGCCATGTATTTTTAATTAAAAATTTCAATGAAATCCTGACCAAAACCGCAATAAAAAATATTTTTTCAGACATCATGGCTAAAAATCGTGATTTTTTGGATTTTTTTTGAAGACTTCAATTCATTGATATTGACCAGAGAGTCATGGATTTGAACAAATTTTGTGAAATTTTGACCAAAAAGTCATACCAAGTACCGTAAAACTACCAGGGAGGTCCTGACTAAAACCGCAGATTGAAAAAGTAATTTTCTTAGACATTCTGACCAAAAAATCGCTATTTTTAGGGATTTTTTAAAGACTATTGGACCGAAAATCGAAGGTCAAAAAAAAAAAAAAAAAGTAAAAAAGTTATAAGTTCGGCCGGGCCGAAATTTGAATACCCTCCACCACTTGGAATGAATTTTAAAATTTTCAATAAAAAAAAAAAATCCGTTAAAAATGCTGTTAAAATCTTAAAAATGTAGCCTATATATAAGGGTCTATAAGACGACGTGGACCTGCATCATCAAAATACCGAATATGGGGAGGTGCCGTTATATGGCGGCTATACGAAGACGTTTACTTGCACAGACAGTTTTCTGTCATAGGTTGTAGTATCCATTGTGAACTTCAAATACCAAACTTGAAACAATTCCGGTGAATAATGTCGCTAAAATTATCAAAAAACTGAATATCGGGAGGTACCGTTATATGGGGGCTATACTAAAACGTGAACCTACATGGCCCATATTTAATACCAAAAGTCCTGAAAACATAATATATATTTGAGTAAAATTTTATCAAACTACAACGTTTCGTTCTGAAGCTAAAGTCATTTCCACAGACGGACAGGTGGATATCCGGACAGACGGACGGACATAGAATTTTTATCGACATAGAATTTTATGCTGATCAAGAATATATATACTTTGTGGTGTCTAAAATGTATATTTCGAGGTGTTACAAACGGAATGACAAACTTAATATACCCTCCATACTATGGTGGAAGGTATAAAAAAAGAATTAAAGAAAATTTTTGGATCTCAAAAAAAAAAAAAAATAATAATAATAATAAATCAAGGACCTATTGACAAAAGAGTTATGGATTTTTTAAGAAAATATCTCCTGAAACTCTTGGATATTATTTACATCGTGCATTTTTTAAGAAAAAATTTCAAAACTTTCTGAGTAAAAAGTTCTCAAGGACCTTCTGACTAAGAATAGTGGATTTTTTGAAAAAGGACCCAGTTGCCAACAAATCGGGAATATTTTATGAACATTTTGTCAAAGGCCTCCTAACCAGTAAATGGTGGATTAATTTTTTTTAAAGATATCCTGGTTAATATCATGGAGTTTTAAAGGAACTCCTGATAAGGATCCTGCATTTTTTTTAAAAAAATTCAAAATTTCTAAAAATTTTAGATTTTTAAAGAAGGGCGAAAAATTTTGTATTTTTTATTTCTTTCAAGGACCTCTTGAGTTCACCAATAAATGGTGGATTAAAAAATCTTTTGAAATACATCCTGACTAATATAGTGGAGTTTTTTTTAGAAAAAATTACATAATTTCTAAAAATTGTAGATTTTCAAAGGATGACGAAAAATCTTGGATTTTTTATTTCTTTCAAGGACCTCTTGAATCCACCAATAAATGGTGGATTAAAAATCTTTTGAAACACATCTTGGCTAATACCGTGGAATTTTTTTTTAGAATTTCAAAGGATGACGAAAAATCTTGGATTTTTTATTTTTTAAAGGACATATTAAGTCGTCGTTTTTTTTTTTTTTTTGAAAAAAGCCCTTGTTTCAAAATCGTGGATATATTTTTTTTAACTTCCTGACCATGAATTAGATTTTGAAAAAAAAAACTTTCAATGACACTCTGACCAATATTTGTGGAATTTTTAACGATTAATTTCTAAGGACATCTTAAAAAAAACATTTTTTAATGTATCTTCTGATCTAAAATAGGGATTTTTTAGATCATTTTTCTTAGCCAAAAATCTTGATAATTTAAATTTTTTTAAGAACCTCTCGAAGATTTTTTTTTAATTTTTTAACTTCGCCAAAAACTGTAGTTATTTTCTAAATGGTTTTCTTAGGTAAGAATTAGACTTCTGATGTCTTCTAGGACCTAAATATTGTTCGTATTTTTGTCTACAATATTGCCGAAGACACTATTCCGAAGGAATCTTAATTTGAAAATTTCCAAAAGTATGGAAAAGGGGAGAACTTGCCTTCCCCCATTGAGATTTCTTTGCTATGTTAACTTTCAAAGCTCCGATACACGTTTCATTTTAAGCTCGTCATTCCATCTGTAACTCATCGAAATAATAATTATATGATCAGCGTAAAATTCTAAGACGATTTGGCCCGGTTCGTCCGTCCGAATGTCCGTGTGTTGTAATCACGCTAGAGTCAAACCGAATAAAGATAGCAAGCTAAACATTGGCTCAGATTAGTTTTTTTTTTTCTGTAGGCAGGTCAAGTTCGAAGATGGGCTATGGTATTCTGATGATTTTAGCTACATTATTCACCAATTTTTTTTGTCAAGTTTCGTATTTGAATACGTCTTCGCATAAACCTTAATATAACGGCTATATTTGGTATTTTTAAGATTTTAGCAGAATTTTAAACGAATTTATTTTTTTTTAATTTCCAAATTCGTTCCAAATGGTGGAGGGTTTTAAAAGTTCCGTTCCGGTCGAACTTATTGCTCTTTCACTTGTTTAACTCTACTTTCATAATCTGCTGGATTTTCCCCGTAATTATTTTTTGTGTTGCACAGTGTTATTTATTTTTTATAAATGCTTTCCTTAAATCTTGAAAAAAAAAAAATTTTAAATTTTTCCAAACTCGAAGTAAAAAAATATTGGCGAGGTATTTGAATTAATTTTTGAAAACTTTTTTGTGACACTAGTTTCTATTCAAAATATAGACCCCATTTTTAATGATCAACTTACTAATGATTTCTTTTACAGCATGTCGAACAGAATTTTGGAAGATTCACCCAATGCCCACATCAACAAGACCATTTTGGATCGTTATCTCAGTTTGCCACTGAAGGAGAACGTCGTCCAGGCCACCTATGTGTGGATCGATGGCACCGGTGAAGATTTGAGATGTAAAGATCGGACATTGGATTTCATACCATCGAAGCCAAGTGGTAAGTAAAGCAAATACGCGCTCTCTATCTCTCTCTCCCTTTCTTTTTTCTGCTCTCTTAATTTCTCTTAAAAATAAAATAGAACTCTAGATTGGAAAGTGAGTTTATTTCTTAAAAAATCAGAATCTCGTAAAATGCGGACGAGGTCTTCGATTGCATCCAAATTTTGACCCTTTGACATAAAATCGTGGATTTTTTTCAAGATTTTTTTTTCAAAAACATTTTTGGACTTTTTATATTAGATTTTTCATCATTGATTTTCTCAAGGATCCTCGACCAAGTCGTCAATAGTTTAAGACACTTTTTTCAAGGATCCCTCTGACCAAAAAAATCTTCAATTTTTTTTAAAAAACTCTTGCCAGAAAGTCTTTCAAAAGTATCTCCTGCCATATATCGGGGATTTTTTTAATTAAAAATTCCAATGACGACCAGATCAAACCCGCTAATAAAAAAAAAATCTGACATGAAATCGTAGATTTTTTTAAGGGCATACCGATTTAGCCTTTTTGGATTTTTTTAATCTTAGATTTTTAATCATTGATTTTCTCAAGGACCCTCGACCAAATCGTCAATTATTTAAGACTCATTTTTCAAGGATCCCTTTGACCAAAAATCGTCATTTTTTTATAAACTTTTGCCAGAAGATCCTTCAAAAAGAAGGATTTTTTAATTAAAAATTCCAATGACGACCAAGACCGCCAATTTAAAAATATTTGTTCGACATCCTGGCTATAATTCGTCACTTTTTTTGGAATTGTTTTAAAGACCTCAAAACTAAAAGTCATTGATATTGGCCAGAGAGTCATGGATTTGAACAAATTTTGGTAAATCTTGACCAAATATCGTGATTTTTAAGTAAAACTACCAATGAGGTCCTGACTAAAATCGCGGATTAAAAAAGTAATTTTCTTAGACATCCTGGCCAAAAAAAAAACACAATTTTTTACGGATTTTTTAAAGACTATTGGACCTTAAATCGTAGGTCAAAAAAAATGGAAGGAAATCTTTGCCAAAGAGTCATGGTTTTGAAAAAAATGGAGGACCCCTCGACAAAAGAGTATGAATTTTTAAAGGAAATATTATCTGAAAATTCTGGGATATTTTTTTTAAATCGTGGATTTTTTTAAGAAAAAATGTCAAGAACTTTTTTAACAAAAATTTTTCAAGTACTTCCTGACTAAGAATAGTGGATGGTTCTCTATCTCTTTTTCTACCTCTCTCTTAATTTCTCTTGAACATAAAATAGAACTCTAGATTGGAAAGTGAGTGTTTTGGGGGAAACAAGGGGGGTTGAAGGAGGAAAATGAAACATAAGTTTTTCATCGGTTCCCTTTCCTGAAACTCACTTTCTTTTGGAACACAAAATTCGACATTTCCATATCACATTTCCAAATATAAACCAAGCTAAGCGAGACATAGTGTCTGAATGCAACAATGCAGCCAGTAATTGAATGTGTTTTTTTTTCATTTTGTTTACCTTTTGGGAAATTAGATAAATATTTGAAAGACAGCCAAGTGTTACGAATTGATTCATTAGAAGATCGGTGGGTGACACTTTGCGATATTGTTGTTGCTATTGTTTTTTATATTTTATTTATCTTTTGTAAATAAATTAAGTTAAATGCAATTATGTTCTATTGGTTGGAAGGGGTTTGTGTAAATAGGGAAGTGTTGATAATTAGTTTGGAAAAAGAGTTGATTGGAGAGAAAAAAAAGAGAGGCAAGGAAGGGGAAGGGAGGGGGGGGAGGGGCAGATATACATATTATTATGTCACGTATTTAAGAGATGTGGTAGGTAAATATCAGTTAGATGCAACTCAAATTGATATTATGAAGAAAAAAAAGGGGGAACTATTATTTTCAATTGAAAAAACAAATTTTTAAAATAATTTTTTTTTTGAAAAATAGCTAGACTTAATCCCCATAATTGTTGTTTTTATTATATTGCAACAACAAAATGACTAAGAAAACCTAGTATAATAATATTTTTAGATATCTTGGAAAAATAATTTTTATTTTATTTATAAAATCTAAATTGAGGTAATACATTATAGGGTATATTTTTTGAATTCAGAGGAGGATATTAGAGATTTGAAAGGAAAATCGCTGCTACAGTTTTTAAGTAATTTTGTAATTTACTTTATTTTATTCAATATGTAGTCAGACTTAATCTAATTATTGTAAATTTTATAAAAATAAAAATTTATATACCCTGATACGGCCAAAATGTGCCTCAACGAAATAATGGTTTTAGATATAGATCTCTTTGGAGAAAATTCTTTTCAGAGGGGTTATCGTAGCCAGAAAAGATACCTATGCACCCAAGCATCCTGAACTTGAGAGCATCCCCAACTTGTATGTCATCAAAACTGCTTCATTTAGTACCATTTGGTATAGTTTCTCAATTCCCAATTTCTCAATTTCCCAATGAATTTCCCAATCCGTTTTGGTACATACATCCTGGACATCATTAGTGGCTCTCATTTTGTTTCTTACGTTTTAGTACTTTTCGTACCACTTTAGTACGAATCTCGAAAATATTTTATATTTTTTTCTTAAAAAGTTGAATTCTAATATTTTTCAACTATTTTTAAATTAATATTTCTTTAATACTCCAACTGCTTATAAAGGCTTTCCAATTTCAGGGAAATCCAAACAATATTCATTTGTTATAACAGTTTTCTGCTGTATAACACACTAATTATAACAGTTGATATTGTTTTATACAAAATTAAAGTAACAAATAATAATAAGCTATTATCAATTCTGTAATAAGTATTCAAACAACTACCTTTTTGGAATAATAAATTTAATTGAATATCGTTTATAACGATACAGTAGAACCACTCATAAACGAATATTGACTCATTTACATTGTCGGGACACTATTTCCATATATGATAAAATCTGAAAACTATACACCATGGACGAAATGGTTATTTTCCTACCAATTTTTGTCCACTCATCGTGGAAAAGTTAATTTTTAGCAAATTGATAGGCCTCTGCCCAAATGGCTTTAAAATGCATTTCTGTGTACGTCTCTGTAAAACACAGTAACTGTACCAAATTGACATGTTCTTTAAATACATCCTCTCTGAGAAAGGTTTCACTGTATCTCTTACTACTTTTGTTTACATCTCTCTCAATAAACCTTATATTGCAAAATTTGCATGTGGGGGGAATATTGAAATAGGGCTCAATACAAAAACATGTATTGAATAACATCCCGTCAACGTTGAATACAGAAGTCGATGCCAATCATGTCGTGTGGTGTAAAAATCAGCGTCGATCCATTTCGTGTGGTATCATCCATTAAAATGCGTTCTAATCTCAAAATGATTAATAGATATGTTACAGCAGGCTTTGTGGGACACAAGCCTGTCGTGCTACTATTTCAAGGGGGTGGTGGGATCAATGCATTTTTAACAAGTTGGATGTGAATGTGATTTTTATGACATCGGTACAAATTATTGGCAATTACACTACAGACTATTATTAAATGTAAAAGTGTAGTTTTATTGTCGGTATTTGTAATAAAAATAATGTAAAATTATAATAAAATTAATAATAACAAATTGTGACAGCAATTATTTATTATGAAAAATTGTGGAACAATAAATTTTAACATTTTTAAATAAAACAGTTTTTTAGGACCTCTTTTCATGAAATACACTAATTTTTCCAAAGGAAAATTCTTTTCTGAGAATAAATTATTAGAAAAAATGGGGAATTCAGTAAATTTTTCAGAAGCCAACTTCAGATCAGTAAATATTTTTTTTGTAAAAAAAATTGCAACTCAGCAGGCTTTCTATAGTCAAAGTCAATTCAGAAACTGCTTTTATTCAAAAGTCAATTCAGTGAAGTTTCCCATAGAAGAAAGTTCAGCTAATTTTTTTAAGTCGTCTCACAAAACTTTTCTAAAAATATCCTTTTTTTTTTAGATAATATCAATTTCATAAAGCTTTTACAAGTAAAAATTGAATTTTTCTTAGTAAAAAACAATTCAGCTAAGTTTTCTATAAAAAAATTAAATTTTCCATAACAAAATTAGCTCAGCTATATTTTTCGGCAAAATTCTGTGTATATTTAAAGTTTTTTTTTTTTGTAAAATGGTACATCGTAATATTTTTGTTAAATTTAGATCGTGTTCGGAGATGAGCAATATCAGTCAACTCCTTCTGGTACCTCACCCACAAAATGTCAACATTTTCAAAGAAAATAATTTACAGCATAGGAAGAGAAAGAATAATACGATTTTGCTCGAACTTTGCAAATACTAATATTTGCAACAGTGCTTGGTCAGGTGCGAAAATGTATATTGGCTCACTCCTTCTGGTACCTCCCCCACAAAGGGTCAACATTTTCAATAATTATAACTCTTGTTAAATGTGTTGTAAGAATCCGATTGTCTTCAAATTTTACACATCACAAAATTTTTATTAACCCAAGTTCTGGTGTGAAGATGGGATATATCGGTTCACTCTTTCCGGTACCTCCCCCACAAAAGGTCGAAATTTTCAAAAAATGTATTTTCTGCACAGAAAGAGGAACGATAATCCGATTTTGCTCCAATTTTGCAAATCTTAATATTTGCATCAGTTCTAGGTCGAAAATGGACAAAAAAAAAGTCCACTCCTTAAAACTCTTTTAAAATGTGATGTAGGATTCCGATTGTCTTCAAGTTACATACATGACAATATTTTGATCAACCCATGTTAGGGTGGAATATACCGGTCCACAAGATGGAATATATCGGTCCAATTCTTCTAGTACCAACTCCACAAAGGGTAAAAATTTCGAATACTCATGAAGCTCATAAAAGACGAAATTAACATCCGGTTCCATTCAGACTTGGCACGTCTCAATATTTCAATCAACACGAGATCTGTTATAAAGATGGTAGAGATCGGACCATTTCTTCTGGTACCTCCCCCACAAAGGTTAACATTTTTGAATATCCATGAAGCTCAGACCGCGCAAAATTGACATCTGATTACAAT